GTTTTTTTTTTTTGGGTTGGGGGCCCTTGGGGGTTTTTTTTTTAAAAAAAAAACTTTTTTTTTTTTTTTTTTTTTTTCCCAGCACTGTCCTGAATATCTCAGGGTGTTTAAATCTGAAAAATGAAGTGTAAGGGGGGATGGAAATGTCCTCTTTTAAGCGCTAATACGCCAGCGGCAGCACTCCCAAGTTCCTGAGGGTGTGTGAAACAGGTGAAAGTATTTCCTTTATGGTCCCTGTTGCGATACCTGCCGTCTGCTTCCAGAGATACCCTTGCTGGCATTTTTCTGTTTGCTTTTGCTTCCTCCAACGGATCGAATGAGTCGAGTCTGTATTGTTGTTTTGGAGGAGGAGGAAGATGATTCTCCCACATTTATTTCCAAATTACCTCAGGAAAATGTATGTTTATGTCCGTCGCCCTCTGGAAACGTGCTGGTAAGGCATGTTGTTTGTTGGCATATTTCCTGCTTGTAATACCTCGCAAATACCAAGAGTGATTTTCCTAAGATTAACATGAGTATGCCTGATGTTGAAACAAGACAAGGTGGTAGAAACTGCCTATACTAAAGAGGGAAAAAGCTGAAACTTAGTTGTCGTATTAATATTTGCTAGGGCTCATTCTTTTTCATGTAATTTATTGATGGTGCAGCAATAACAGATCTCAACTCTTGTATAACAGCAGAGGATTTTTAGAGGGCTTGGTAAACTGTGTTTGAAGTAGCTGGTTTTTCCCTGCTCCACTTCTCATTCCTCAGCGGTACATTTATGCAGTACCACTTTAGAAACTGATGTAATCATTCTATTGCAATAATATGCTGTGTTTATTTTGAGAACGGATAGACTATATAGTGTACATCAAGCAAGAGCAGTTCTAAGCTAAAATAAAAAATAACATAATTCATAATCTTGATGTGGCTGTTAGATTCAAGTTACCACTTTCTGGAAATGATCAACACTGGGGACTGTGCTTTTATGATTAAAATATTGCTAGCATACCTCAGCAGCTTTTCTTACTTACTAAGAAATCCTGCTATATTTAGTAATAGATGTGTGTGAGTGTGAATTTGTTACCATACTTATCTGATGCACTTTGCTTTCCCACTCTATCTAAACAGGTGAAAAAACTTCTAGTAACTTTAGTCACTTGCTAATGTAAAAAGGGTTTGTTTGCTTATATAGAATTCGCAGCATGTAGCAACAACCCTAATTTTATTATGAAGAGTTCTCTTTTCAGCTGCTACAAGCTAGTCTTCTGGGCCTTTTGTTTTTCTTTTTTTTAAAATGTATTTCATTGACTTAGTATATGTTCCTGTGTTAGAGGCTTTTAAAACTGGGAACTTCTGCAATTCTAAATACTGGTGCTGATATCTTTATTTCACTGCCTGGGGTGTTTTATGTTGTCATCATCTTGTATTTGTGTTATTTATTAAAAAAAAAGTCAATCACTAAAAACTAAAATGAGGTTATATTCTAAGATGTGGTTTTTTTTCATTTCAGCCACCATTGGTTCAAGCTATATTTAATGGAGATCCTGACGAAGTTCGAGCACTGATATTTAAGAAAGAAGATGTTAATTTTCAGGTAAACCCAAACACAATTAGCTTTGAATACATTTTAGTTTTGTTTTAAGTTTCTGCTCCACTAATCACTTTAAAACTTTGCTAATTCATGAGCTGCACAATATATTGCTTTTATGTAATAGGAGAAGTAAAGCTTACATGTACACCTAATACTGGGAAGAATGAGGGTAGCTTTGTAGATTTGTGTTGATAGTAAAGGCCTGATTCTATATTCCTTTCAAATGTTAGTTCTGCAGTGCTTGGGTAACAAAAGTTTGTTTGTATAGTTGCATCGGACCTTTTAGAAAGTTAGACTGGTTAAGTGTAATGCTATGTAGACTTTTCATTCTCTTTAAATTAAATATAGCACATAGTATACATTAGACAATTATAAGAAAACAGTCTGGGGTTTCAGAAGGTAGGTTAAATAGTGGATTTTAAAAAGGGAAGCCTAATGATTATATTAGTAAGGAAAAATGAGAAATTGTGTTTGTGTGTCCTATTTGCTGTGCCATGAACTCAGACACTACAGATTTAAAAAATTGTACTGAAATGGAATTTGTTGGGTGAAATTCAAGATGGGAACAGCATGCAGTTACTGTATTTACTTTCTATTAGAATTCTAATACGTATGTTTGACACTATTCAAGCTAATACAGCATACACTCTTTATGTTGATTAGAAATGGTTTAGATAATTAAAGCAGACTGACATAAACTATTTAGGGCTTAACACTGTGGGAATGGGAATGCATGTAGCTGTTTGTCCTACAGATGCATCAGAACACAAGTGATGCTAAAAAGCAAAGGGTAACATCTAGATGCTACACAGTGGCCAGTGTATGACCATGATAATTGTTTACACTTTCTTCTTGGAAGATGTAAACCAAAACCAAACATTTAGTTTGGTATGTGTGTTTTGACATTTAAAAGCATTCTGCAGAATTTCTGTCTGACCAATGCCAGCTGAAGAATAAGGGAGCTCTCCCATTGTCTTGAGAGCTTGAGTAGGATCCCATGTAAGTAAACTTGCTCTCAAATCTAGAGTTTTGTTTGGGAAGGTTGGACTTCTTTTCCTCTCCTTTTTCAGTAGTTTTGCACATTCTTAAGCAAGATGGTATGATGGATTATATAATATCAAAAGACTTAATCTTCTGTTTAGTTATGAGAGCATTAGCTGTGTATCCTTCCAGTCACTTTGTGTGTACGCTCTGGTCATATGAACATTTTATTTTTAAAAGCTCATTAGTCTGTATTGATTCATTTGTATTCCTCCATGTGTAAGTCAGGTTTAGCGCTCCTAGCTATAGTGCCTGTAAACAAAGTTAGGATAGTATCTGTGCTTTTTTGGTTAGCTATTGTAAAAGCCTCTGCTAGATTTCAGTATGTATGTGGTAGTGGGTTGGTTTCGTTTTTTGTTCTATCTCAAATTTGTCAAAACAGTTGCCCATAAACATGAAGTCATCAGATGTGCTTAAAGAGGAAAGCATCTAATTGTTTATTGTCTTTGAAGAGGGTTACTTTAGACTTCCAGATAGTTAGACTGAGGAAAAACATTGTAGGCAGGATGTTCAAAATCTGGGGGGTTTTACATTTTACATCTTAATTTTTTAACTCCATTCTGTGGACATCTCCCTTTAACAGAACATGTGTGCATCTTAGGCTAGTAATGCCCAAGGTATATTTAGAATCCATCCAGAACAAATACGATGTTTTTTTTCGAAGCCACCTTCTTCAGCATAGGCAGAGGCTTATCACACATGACCACTCCTTCCTACCATGGCAGTCCTAGTCTTACTAGGGTATTTATTATTGCATTCCTGTGTATCCCTTAAAGCACTGTTTGTTTGGGCTAAACAAGCATATAAATTCTCCAATTGTTTGGCAGAGATGAAGTAAACTGCCCAGTGGATTTTTCATTGTGATTGTGTGTGTGTGTGTTTTGTTCTTTTCTTTGGGTTTTTCATTTGCTGTATGTACTTGGCTGGAGACAATATATTCCTGCACAGTATAGATCCAAAGTTGTCCCCTTAGTTACGTGTTATTAATTGGTGGGGACAGAAGGAGGGAAAAAGTGAAGAAAATGAAATGGTTATGTATATTTCCTAATAAAGAGAAGGATTGTGATAAACTGTTTTGACCGTTGTGGATTGTATTAGACCAGTGTATGTGTTGGATTTTTTTCCACTTTGCTATCCAAGTGCTTCAGTACAGTTGTTTGAATTCCAGAGTCATTCCCTCCAATGCCTCTGCAGAGCCCTTTCCCCCTCTCAAGAGCAACTAATTATTTTGCAGTTTGTATTCTAATAGTTGAGATTCCTTCCTTCCTCTCTTCCCCTGAGCATGGGTTGGACGCTGTAACTGGAGGCCTGGCAGGGTCCTGCAAATTAGGTTTGCCCAGAAGTGAACTGAAGATAAAGCCATTGTAGGTCTTTGTTGTGACAGTGACATTCATCTAGGAAAGTTGTTAGTGTCTTGATGAAATGTGGCTTGTGGTTTGTTGTTTTTCTTTTTCCCTTCTGTTATCATCCAGCTTTATTTACCTTTTTACTTCAGGAGTATGTTATCTTTAATCACAATTGGCTTAATACTCTTTTAAAACTAAGTGAGTCTGTGTGTTTGGCTTCCCAAAGCTAGGCTGTGATAACTGTTTGATACTACAGTAATATCTAGAGATTGAACCCAGGTTGGGCTGTATTAGAGCATTATTCCTAAAACAGATGATGTCTTCTACCACAGTGTTATATTAAGAAAGATTCTGAGATGGGTGGCCTTTTATAACATGGGTTGCTGCGTGTGACTGTAAGATGATGTGCTGATAGCAGACCGGCTTTTCCAGGACAAAGATTGTTCTCTGTTCATGCCACACCAGCCTCTTTGAGTCACAGGCTCAGTCTGGATTTAGAAAGTATGTATTGTACTCCACTCTGCAGTTGTAACCTTTTGTGAAGAAAGAGCAGATTTAATGTGTGTCCCTAGCTGCTTAAATCATGGTTCAGAAAGGCTTACCTTCTCTGCAAGTTGGAAGTGTGCAGCTTTTTTATAGATAGAACTGATTTATAGGAACTTTGAAGGTGAACTCTCTTGAGGCTCCAATTAATGGAAAAAAAGGGGAAGGGGTTTCTTCTCCCTCCCCTTCTCCAAGAAACCTCAGAAGTTGTAGCTGCTTGTTTCATGAAACAGGCTTAAATCACACACATCACATATGTCAAGCCTGATACAGTTTCTGTTATATGCATTTGCTCTTGCTGTGCCCTGTATGTGTATATATATGTTAAAAAACTAATGATTCCTCCTTGGTACCACCTTGAGCTTTTGAGACTTGGTAGTAAGGAAAATCTTGTGTTATAACTGACATATTTAATGTCTCTTTATTAGGTAATGGAGATCCTCAACATTTGTTGCTCTTGCCTGTTAGATTAGTATGGCTGGATTGAATGTTATGTACTTTTCAGCAGTTAATTTTAGTGAACTAAATTATTTCAGTGTTGCCTTTTATAAATCAGGATTTTTTTTGTTTTTTAAGATTTGGAAGTCTACTAGTGTTGCAAGCTGTGCCATTTCTGTTTGCAACCAAAACATTTATGATGTATGTTCAGTTTAAAAGATCATGAAAATGGAATATTTAGTCTCAGCTGTTTGTTAAGAATATAATTTTGTGAAACGAATGCCATCTTACTGTCAAAAATGATTTAAAGTTTGCAGATCTGACTATTGAAATGATTGTTCAAAATCAGAACAATTTTTCTTCCTCCTACACCTATTGGGATAGTATTTCTTGCCATGAAAAGTGATACTTCAAGTAACCCAATACACAGTTTTTATAACCCGATTGCACTTGATCTTAGCTGAGGGGATAAACATCTGACCCTCTCTGGAACTGGTGTCAGTGTGCCCCTTGCTCTTCTCACCCTAAAGCCAAATGGGTGATTTTTTTTGGAAAAATCCCAAATTCCCACAGATCTCTCCCAGTGTTATAAGGCGCTTGCTGCTGCTATTTAAAATAGTGGTATTAACATATGTGATAAGTGACATGTACATGAAACTCCTGTACCTTACTGTTCATTGTGCTTAGTGAGACTAAAATAGATTTAAACTATGAAGCATACTTTAAAGATGCCTTCTGTGTGAGTTGGTGGGTTTTTTCCAATACAAAATGTAAGATGGGAAAATGAAATGGCACATACTGTACAGAGGACTGCAGCAATTAGTTATATGCATGATTTCTATTCTGGACTTCGGGGCATCCAGCACAGCTCTTGATTGAATGTCTTGTCTCTAGAGTAGGTAACCAAAAAATAAAATAAAAACTCAGCTGTGCTACTGTTTCAGGAAGAAGGGAAAAGAAACCAAACCAAAACCATTGAACCAAACAGTCTTGTCTGCCCTCCCTACCCCCCACCTGTATTAGATAGCAATGAAGTGTTGCCCATAAATCCCAAGTTCTGTTCCTGGGACTGACAAGGGGTATGACCTGGTAGCACCAAAGTGCTAGGTACAAATAGGAGAACTAAGGGTATGGATGGGACTTTGGTATTTTGAGCAGTTGGGTGCTGTGTGGGTGACTGTGGCAGTACAGTTGTGGGCTCCCTTCCCAGTTCTGCCAAACGCAGATTTGCATACCTGCTTCTTTGTGTTATCCGCGTTACGTGACATCTTATTTGATTGCCTGCTTATTTTTAAATTTATCTTACTTTGCAGGTCATTGCATATACTGAAAAAGAAGCAAAATCAGTTTATTAGTCTAGTGACAAGTCCAGGACTTCTCATAGAGCATTGGGTCTGTGTATCAGGAGAATTAGGTTATTTGAGGGTCTCAAATATCCGAGTAATTTAGAAGTTTATAACAAAAATTAAAGCACAGTTTAAAACCCAAGGAAGATTCTTTGTGATTCTGGTATTGGGCAACAAAGTCCTAAAAGAAGTTAAATAGAAAAAATAGGTTGTAGATGTATGGTCTCCTGGCTTTCATCTTTATACTTCACCTCATTGGTTGAACTGTGGGGTAACTTTTTTTCCTACA